CCCAAGGGCAGCAGGCCACTTACCACCCTCACCCAGGGTGCCTGTGGCATCACCTGGGTCGAAGGTGCAGACCAGGCACCTTGGAGACACCCTGAGGTGTCTCTGCACTGGCATCAGGCAGCTGAGGGAGGGGAGACTGCTGCAGAGGGCCGGGAGGGGGCTGGGTACCCAGCCAGAGGGCTCGGGTGTCTGAGGGGATGGGAGGACATGGCCAGCCCGCTCCCACCCAGTCCCGCCTTCCCGCCCGGGGTTCCCAGCTCCAGGGCACAAGCCTTTTCCCTTTTTAAGTAACACAAGCTCAAGGTTACCCACTTTTCCGAGAACATCTTTGGTCACCACCCCCCCATTCCAACAGGAAATGCCTTCCTTTTCAAGATTCCCAGACCTCCCCTCATGGACCAGCGAGTCCTGCAGGAATGTCTCCCAGTTCTACGTGGCCAAGTTCATGACCAGCAAGTCCTGCAGGAATGTCTCCCAGTTCTACGTGGCCAAGTTCATGACCACACTCGTGTTTTATAAACGCTGGATGCAGCAAACAGCCTGAGCTCCCCAGAAGTAGAACATCCTCTCCTCTGCCTGCAATAAAGCTAATAAAAAAATAAAATAAAAGCTATAAAAATAACCAGCCTTTACCAGTCCTTCAGCTCATGCCCAATTCCCTCACGCAGCGTGGGCAGCGAGGGTCAGGGCTGTTCAGGGCACAGGCTCAGGGGTGCCGCCCACACAGCAGCCTCCAAGCTTAGGGACACGGCAGGTGTGGAGGCAAGCAGAGACCAGGTCCGGGGGCCACGGGGGTGTGTGTACAGAAGGTGTGCGTGGCCAGTGGGAGTGGAGCTGGTGGACGGGAGTGAATTTAAGTGCTGTTGGGAGGGATGGCTGAGAGGATCGGGCTGTGAGGACTGAGTGGCCAGTCTTGCTGACACACAGGCATTCTATCGTGGGTTTCTGAGGCCCCCGGGATGCAACAAACACAGCTCCCTAGCCCCACCTCAAATCTTGCCCTCCAGGTGCAAGGCCTGAGGATCTGCATTTTAAAGATTTTATTAATTTTTATTGGAAAGTCAGATATACAGAGAGGAGGAGAAAGATCTTCCATCCACTGGTTCACTCCCCAATTGGCTGCAATAGCCGGTGCTGTGCCGGTCCAAAGCCAGGAGTCTGAAGCTTCTTCTGAGTCTCCCATGTGGGTGCAGTGTCCCAGGGACCGTCTTCCACTGCTTTCCCAGGCCACAGGCAGGGAGCTGGATGGGAAGCTGGACAGCCGGGATTAGAACTGGCACCCATATGGGATCCTGGTGCGTGTAAGACAAGGACTTTAGCCGCTAGGCTACCATTTCAGGCCCAAGAATCTGCATTTGTAACAGCATGGCAATGAGGTGTCCCTTGGACCAGGTGAGCTGAGCAAACCTCTGCCGAAGGAGGCCTGCCTGGGACCACACACGCATCAGCCAGGCTTGGCTCCGAGACAGCTTCTTTTCTAGAATACAGATCCTGTCTCTCCCAGCCTCTCTCGTGCTAAATGCCTGGAGTGGGAGCCAGAGAAGCAACCACAATGCCTGGGCTGGAAGTGACACGTGACAGCAGTCTCCCAGGGTGAGCCGGGCCAGGGCACAGGTGCAGGGCTGGCCGTGGGGACAGCTGTCTCCACGTCGATCCTGGCCAAAGGCACCTCAACTCTCGTCCTTTTGCTTCTAATCAACTCTGATTGTGTAACTGAGGGTCACAATTAGCTACTGCCCCGCACACACGAGGCTCCCAGAGGGAGTACACAGGAAGATACAGAGAGCACACGGCCAGGGGACACCCAACAGTCCCACCCAGGAGGGCACTGATGAGGGGAGCTCAGGGGCACAGCCCTGGGGCTTCTGTCAAGGCCAAGGACACCAGCCCAGAGCACAGCCTGACACTGCTGCTCCCAGATGGCCAGTCCGTACCACAGCAGAAGGGCAGACAGGCACACGTGCAGGGCAGGAGTGCTCCGCTCCGGGGAGGAAGATGCAGGGACGCTCCCCGGGGACGGCCAACCCGAGCAGTGGTCCACTGAGAACTGTCGCAAGCAGCTGCACTTGGCAGAGCTGCTGGAGGCTGTGAAGAGGCTTCCAGGACACTAGAAGCGGACGGAGGTCGGGCTGTGACATGCCACTGCAGCCTGGCTCTTGCCAAGGCCACCAGTCTCCAGTGGGCTTGACAGAGAATGTGTTCAAACCCACGAGTGATGCTCCCACATCAAGGGCAGCCCAGGACCCGAGTCGCAGGCCCGAGCACAGCCCTGAGAGCAGGGGGAGCGCAGAGCAGGGCTGTGCCAAACGTAGCTGCTCCCCTTTAAAAAGCCAATGATAGAAGTGCCAGGTGACCCCCAGCTCATGGAGCAGGGAGCAGGGTCTGTCCCAGCACAGTTGCCGGCTAAGTCCCCTTCCACAGCTGCACTCCAGTCCAAGGGCACCTGCTGCTCAGCCTTGAGGCTGCACAAGCACCCGGGGCGGAAGAGGTGGACATCAGAGCTTCCAGGAGGGGATGGGGGCACTTGGAGCGGCTCTCTCAGGGCGGGGGAGGGCGGGGAGGGCAGAAGCCGAGGACGCCTTCCCCACAGAGGTGACGGCCACGGATTGTCCAGACTCCCAGGAAAGGAGAAACACGTTAGTGTGTGCTGGGGCCACAGGATCACAGCCATGCCCAAACAGGAAGGCCCTCCCCCACAGTGTGGTCATCACAGGATCTGTGGCCAAGCCCCTGAGCCCAAGGCCAGTCAGCCTGTGACAGTCCCAGGATTGGGATGTGGGCGTGTATGATGGCACAGAATCACAGACTAAAGGCAAAATTAGCATCTGTCTCGGCTTGCCGCGGCGTCTCAGCCAGCGCCCACCGAATCCCAGCACCGTGAGGACTGACGCAAATGCCACCACTGTTGGTAGCACAACAGGAAAGCTCCCGGGCCTGGGGCTGTGCGGCCTGGCGGACGGCTGACTCCCTCCCTCCCGGGGAGTCAGCAGGCACTAACGAGAGCAAATCACAGCACAAACACCGACGCCAACGGGCAGTAACCACGCTATGGCATCGGAAGCACCTGGTAGACACGCAGCAGGGGTCACACCTGCACCAAGGCCACAGGCCGACTCTGGACTACGGGGACATGGCGACACAGCAAGTTGCAGAGTTCCAGGGCACCCCGGCAGCTCGCTCTCGCCTTGCAGCCCCCCACTGCCCTCAGGGCAAGCACACAGTATACAGACAGAACGAGCACGAAGTGCGACAGACCTTCTGAAAGGCAGACGGGAGCCCCGTGGGGCTGACAGCCCCACAGCAGAGCCGGGCCCAGGAGACCACAGGGCCAGGAGACCGCAGGGCCAGGGACGAACAGCCTGGCTGCCGGCAGGGGCACTGCAGCTGGCACAACAGCAGGTGCTTGGACAGGGCTTCAAGAGCTGCCCCTGCAGCCAGGTCTGAGCTGATCAGAGTTAGGCAGCATGGCTAGCACTCAGCGGCAACAGGAAACAACCACGGAATTGACAAGGAAACAAGCGAAGGAGATTAGTTAACAAAAACAAACTTTAAAAATCTCCCACAGGGCCCAGCACAATGGCTCAGTGGCTAACTCCTGGTGCATGCCAGAATCCCATGTGGGCACCAGTTCACATTCCGGCCGCTCCACTTCCCATCCAGCTCCCTGCTTGTGGCCTGGGAAGGCAGTACAGGATGGCCCGAAGCCTGGGACGCTGCAATGTCCAGGGAGACTCAGAGGAGGCTCCTGGCTCCTGGCTTTAGATCAGCTCACTTGGAGAGTAAACCAACAGATGGAAGATCTTATTGTCTCTGCTTCTCTCTGTAAATCTGACTTTTCAATAAATAAATTTTTTAAGATTTATTTTACTTTTATTGGAAAGGCAGATATGCAAGAGGAGGAGACAGAGAGGAAGATCTTCTGTCCGATGATTCACTCCCCAAGTGAGCGCAACGGCCGATGCTATGCTGATCCAAAGCCAGGAGCCTCTTCTGGATCTCCCACGCGGGTGCAGGGTCCCAAGGCTTTGGGCCATCCTTGACTGCTTTTTCAGGCCATAATGGGAGTTGGATGGGAAGTGGAGCTACTGGGATTAGAACTGGCGACCATATGGGATCCCAGTGCGTGCAAGGCAAGGACCTTAACTTCTATGCTATCACACCAGGCCCAAAATAAATAAATCTTTAAAAAAAAAAATCAAATCAAGGCCTGCCGAACGGTGTAATCTGTGCTGGGCTGTGAAGGATCAACAGGCGATTCCTGGCCAGGACACGTGAGTTCCAGGCAGCAAGAGCTGAGCACACACGAATGGCATCACGCAAAAGTACCCGCTGTGCCCACACACTGCGGTCACAAGTGCTGGTGTCGCCTGCACCTGCAGCCACGCTTTCCCTCACGCCTCCATTGCTTCAAACACATCTGCTCACTCAAGTTTACTCTGCTTTCATCCAAAATGACGACACCCACAAAACAAGGGGTTCACGCTCTCCCTTCTACTTGGTCTAAGTCATCAGTGTCACACAGCAGTGCAGGCGAGGGGGCCCCTCCAACCCACAACCCGTCTCTCTGTTCCAGCCACACTGGCCACGCTCTGGAAAGATCTAGCAGGGCACCTTGAGGCCAGTGCTGCGTGAGGAGGGGTCTGTAATTATGAGGAAATGAATGGAAACATCAGGGCAAAGCCACGGCCATCGGGCACTCTGTGCTGCCCTGTGGGGACACAAGCCCTGCCACGCCCCCAGGCAGCCAGCATCCGGCCTTGTGGCTGCGGGGGACCCCGCATGGGGCTCCAAGGCACACAGTCACCCGGCTGCCTTTCCTTTCCAATTTTACAGGCACCGGCAGGGTTTCAGTAATTTCTTATGCAACCTCTTCAAAGTTTAAATTTGTACTTCACTAAACACAACATTGTAAACTGGGTCAGGCAGCGGCGCGGCTTCCTGGGGACTCACGGGAGCCAGCAGCCAGCAAGGAGCGGCCAGCACCATGACCGCAGTCTTACCTCCATGCACAAAGCCATGCAGCGTGCAGTCTGACGGCCCCACCAGGTGGATCAGGCTAGACTGGCTGTAGCTCACCGTGTTGGGCTCTGCAATCACAAAGGACACGCCAGTCCGTGGCGAATGAGTCGGTAACACCAAAACTGCCGGCACCCATGGGGTCACTGCCATGCTCTCCCGACGGGTTGGGGCAGGCCAGAGCTTCGCTAGCCTTCAGTGTGTGGTCACCGATGCCACCCTCTGGGGCTGGCGGTGCCCTGCAAGGCCATGCTGGGACCTCCAGATGCAGTCACAGGGCTGTGGGGATCCTTCTGCTGGACTTCTCCCAGTTCTATGAACAAGCACCGCCACTATGCCATAACCGACTTGGCCACACCAACCCGCAATGGTCGCCGAAGGCACAGCCCCCGAGGCGCAGGGCCCTGTGCTTCCTCCGGGCTGGCCATCTCTGTGGCCACATAGTTCTGCAAAGGCAGCAGAAATGGGATTCATGCCTGCAAAGAATGTTGGTGCAGTTCCTGTCACACAGAACGGACCAGAAGTACGTTAGATGCTCACGACTTAACGAGGGGATCAAGTTCACTTGGACTGCAAGGCGACTGCGTGTGCAACTTCCAAAGCCAAAGTCAGCTCAGCAGGAGGTGGACTGTGAGCCCCAGCACCTGCTTCCGAGGAGGCCATGGAGATAAGGGACAGGTGGCAGAGCTGGGGGCCTCGCTCTCTGCCCAGGCCCCGTGGTCTTCCCTTTCCCAGGTCAGTCTGCCTACTTCTCAGCTCCCCTGACTACCATCACTAGTGGGTCTGCTCAGTCCAGTGGCTGTGGATGGCAAGGCCTGCACTGGGCCTGGTGGAGAGACACACACAGACACACAGGCCTTCTGGGACTTCAAGGATAGGGGCAGGTGGCCCTCGAGCGTCTGGGATCCAAAGTCTGAGGAGAAGGCAGAGAGCAGGCCACCAGGCCATGGCCGGGGAGTGCGGTGACGGGAGTGCATGTGGCAGGCCTGAGCCGCTGCACTGCACCATCTGGGCCACCCCTGCCAGACTGGGTCCAGGTGAGCCCCAGGCCCGGCTGAGAGAAGCAGCCTGCCCGTCAAGTGCAAGTCAGGAACGTCGTGTCCCCAGCAACCTGACCTGGGTTGAGCACGGGCTGCGTGATGTCCCCGTTTCTCCACTTGGTCTCCATGCGCTCCAGTTTCTGCGCCTCGTAGCGCTTTCGGCCCTCCTCCTCCTGTTCCTGCCGGGAATACTGCAGAAGCCACCCAGCATCAGGTCAGCAGCACCCAACCTGGCCACGGCCCGGCCCCCCGCACCCAGCCCTGCCCTGCATGGCCTGGCCTCCCCCACACCCTGCCCTGCACGGCCTGGCCCCCCGCACCCAGCCCTGCCCTGCACGGCCTGGCCTCCCCCGCACCCTGCCCAGCCCCGCTGCACCCTGCCCTGCCCGGCCTGGCCCCCCGCACCCAGCCCTGCCCTGCCGCACCCTGCCCTGTACAGCCTGGCCCCTGGACTCAGCCTGGCCACGGCCTGGCCCCTTGTACCCTGCCCTGCACGGCCTGGCCTCCCCTGCACCCAGCCTGGCCCCCCGCACCCTGCCCGGCCACGGCCTCCCAAGCCTGGGCAGCAAGCTCCTGGGTGCCCAATGTTTTGCACCTATGCCTGTGACTGCCTAAATTTTAACACCTGTTTCATAAGCAACAAGAATATGAGGGAGGTGGAAATCCCACAGGACCCCATTGCACTGAGACACCCGGGAGCCAGGCTCGCAAGGACCGCCCGTGAGTGCGGGCTTCAGAGAACTTATGAAAAACGCAAATCCTGAAAACAGTAAGTGGCTTTCAGACTTCCTCACACTAAAACAAACTCATCTTTGAACTTCACTTTCCACCACGTTTTTGAAGAGGACCACATAAACAGGTCTATCAGACTCCCGTGGCACTCAGACATGTCTCACTGTCTCACCGTGTCATCGTGATGTCATTTATGTAACCACACAAGGACATTTCAATCGCCCCCAATTTACCCCGAGAAGCCCCTGTCACACTGACAAGCCTCAGCCACCTCTTCCTTCCTAAGATTTGTTTTGAGTCACAAACCATAGAATCCAGGGCTAAGGAAGCACGGTGCCCACGTCCCGAGCCCGGGCTGCCTGCTCATCACTCCTCGGCGGCGTCTCAGCCCACACTGAGGAGGCCCGGGGCTCTGGTGGCCGCACAAGCTTTGAGCCAGAAGCCCCCAGTGAATGTGACACAAGGATCTTGGGGCACAGTGGGGCTGCCGGGTTTCTCTGGTTCATTTGATGCCCTCTGGCCTATGCCCAGGACTCGCTGAACTCCCCACGCAGGACAGCTCCTCTCACTGAGGGGCCCACAGGTGCTCTGTGCTGGTCCCAGGCTGGGTCTTGTGGCTTGTCTGCCCCTGCCCCCAGACCCAGCCCCTTCACCTGGGCCCCTCCGTCCTTGCTGCCCATTCGCCTCTGTCTCTTCATTCACTCAGCTGACATTCCCAGCTGAGCCTGCAGGGAAGCCATGAACTCAGAGAACCTGTGGGTTCCACTCTGCCCTGCAGGTGCCTGCTTCCGGTGTGAACCTGCTTCCGGCGGTAGAGTTGGGCCTCGACTTCCCTGCTTGTGACTCAGCTGCACGGGGCGGACCACCTCCCGGCCTCAGCCCTTGCTGCCAGACAGTCCATCTTCCAAAGCAGCTCAGAAGGGAACAGCAGTGAGGGGTGGGGAAGGTGGGGGTGTGGGTTCAGCAGAGACCCACCACGGGAGCTGCGTAAGTGGCCGTGAGTAATTTAACTTTCCCTCCAGAAGCAGGCTCTCTCCTGATGCCCCACCGAGCCTGTGTGCCTCTATGTGAGATGTGCAAACAGAGGTCAGAGGCCTTCCAAAGCTCTGAAAATTTTTTTGCTTATTTTTATTGGAAAGGCAGATCAGATTTACAGAGAGGAGAGACAGAGAGAAAGATCTTCCATCCACTGGTTCACCCCCAAGTGGCTGGAGCTGAGCCAGGAGCTTCCTCCGGGTCTCCCACGCGGGTGCAGGTCCCAACCTTTGGGCCGTCCTCGTCTGCTTTCCCAGGCCACAGGCAGGGAGCTGGGTGGGAAGTGGAGCAGCTGGGACATGAACCAGAGCTGATATGGGATCCCAGCACTTGGAAAGTCAGGATTTAGCCATTGAGCCATGGTGCCAAGTCCGAAAGACTTTTTTCTGAATGATTTATTTTGAAAAGCATATTTACCGGGGCCAATGCATGGTAAAGAATGCCAAGTCTTGGGCCTAGCACAGTAGTCTAGTGGCTAAGTTCTTGCCTTGCATGTGTCAGGATCCTATATAAGCACCAGTTCATATCCCAGCTGTTCCACTTCCCATCCAGTTCCCTGCTTGTGGCCTGGGAAAGCAATCGAGGACGGTCCAAAGCCTTGAGACTCTGCACCCACATGGAGACCCCGAAAAAGCTCCGGGCTCCTGGCTTCGGATCACCTCAGCTGGCCATTGTGGTGACTTAGGGAATGAATCAGCTGATGGAAGATCTTTCTCTCTCTCTCTCCTCTCTGTATATCTGCCTTTCCAATATAATAATAATAATAATAATAATAATAATAATAATAATAATAATAATAAAACAAAACCAGGAATCCTAAGTCTGCTTGCAGCACTGGCATCCTATACGGATGCTGGTTCGTCTCAGCTAGTCCACTTCCGCGCAGCTCCTGCTCATTTGCCTGGGGAAGCAGGGGGGAGCACCCTAGGTACTTGGGTCCCTGCACCCAAGAAGCTGCTGGCTCCTGGCTTCAGACTGGCTCAGCTCCAACCACTGTGGCCATTTAGGGAGTGAGCCAGCAGGTAGAAGACCTTTCTCTCTGTAAATCTGCCTCATCGTGCCCCGCCCCCCCCCCCAAAAAAAAGAAGGAAAGAAAAAGAAATTCCCATCTCAGCTGAGCAGGAAGCACCCTAGGTAGAACAGGCAGGGGCAGACGCACCAGCCCAGGGGTGGGTGCCAGCAGTGTCCCCCGGGGGGCCGTCTCCATCTGGAGCCTCAGCAGAATGCAGCAAGGATGAAGGTCTTTGTTGTTCTTGGTTAGGACAAGGTCGCACGGAATGGCGTGGGCTCTAATGCAAGGGCTGGCGTTCTCACAGACACAGCGGAAGGCAAGCCAGTGAGACCAGAGACACGGGGTGATGAGCTGTGAGCCCCAGACACCTGCAAAGGCTGGAGGCGGCCAGGAGCGTCTGCAAAACTTCAGAGTGGCTCTGGCTACTCCCTGACCAAGACTGCTGGCCTGGGGACCACAGAGTAAGCTTCCTTTGGTGAAGGCTACCACTCCATGCCACTTCCCAGCAGCCCAGGGCACCAGGACGGGGAGCTGCGGGGATCCCAGAACTCTATCTACACCTGTCCATGATCAGTGGATTTCCCTGATGCCCAAGTATCAAAGGAGATAGTCACCAAGTCAGCCAGTCCAGGGGCCAATCACCCTGCCCAGCAAACAGTGAGTGGACACCCTCGTTTCATAAAAAGCCTAGAGCACACAACAGGTGCGCCCAGCAGCCAGCACATTCCCCCCCCCTCCCCCAATAAATCCCTAAAATCTAGGAAGGCTCCTAGTGCCTCAGTCAGGCACAGAGCTGGGGACAGGAACAGGAAGGCAGCCTTGAGGAGCCGGTCAGGCTCATGGTCCCAGAGGAACTGTGGCTGCAGAGAACACGTCCTCCCAGCCCAGCAACACAGCGTTCCTTAAGGCCTGCAGACAGAGACTGAGCCTTGGTCTTGGCCATGGGACAAACCCCAAGGGGGCAATGAGGACTGTGGGTGCTGTGAGCATGCAGTTTCCATCGCGCTGGCATGCAGACCCTGACCAGCAGCCCTCACTCGTCATCTCTAAAACTGCTGGACATCAGGGCAGGAGAGTGCTCCCAGCTGGGGCAGACACCGCTGCACCGTGGGCAGGGGGGTAGTGGCCAGCACCAGCCCTCAGACACAGCCATGGTCTCACTTCAGAAGCTGGGGTACCAGAGGAGCGGGGGAGGGGCTTGAGGGAATGGACGTATCCCCTTCCCCAAGCACCTGCCCTCCACAGGTCTGCCAGGACCCAGGACGAGCACAGCATATGTCTTCCATGCCAAGGAAGCTCCTGTCGGGCGGGCAGGCTCATGCTGTGCCCTTGTTCCCAGAGCTGAGACCAGAACCAGCTCCTGAGGCTTAGGCCCCGCAGCCTGGGGGTCCTAGCTCTCAGCTATAAAATGAATGAATGAAGCATGCACTAAGGACCCCCCACACCACATCCTCTGATCCAGCTGCTTCCTGACTTCCTCCCTGGCTGAATGAGTCAGTCACCTTCACCACACTGCAGGACCCAGCCTCTGCCCTCTGCACCCGAGAGAATAACCGGGGTGGGGGTCGCCTTACCACCACAGGAGGCACCTCCAGCACCTTGTCCACATTCTTGAGCGACAGGGGCACGTACCACAAGGTGGCCTTGTTGGTCAGCTTCTTGGTACCTGGTGAGAAGCCACAGGCATGACATTCTGGGACGGACACAGGGTGGGCACTGCTGGGCATCCAGAGGCTCCGACCCCCAGCCCTGCTCATCTCCTATCACTGTCTCTGGTCCCCTCCTCTAAGGCCACTTAGTCCTGTAGCCTGGGGTCACAGCCACAGTGCCAGCCGACACAGACAAGGCACCATGAGCCTGTAGACAAGCCCCTTTACCGCTCGGAGCCTCCCCTTGCCCCCCTGGCAGAGCCCCACAATGGGGCAGCTGACTCGGGCCACGCGGCTGAAGCCTGCTCAGCTGCCAAAGGCATCTCCACCTGGCATTTGCAGGAAGAGTCTGGTCACCGAGCAGCACTGCGGACAGTGGGGACAGCGGCTCAGGACCTGCTGCCCCTCTCCTGGTCAGCACCAACTGCGACGCTCAGGCACCGTGCAGCCCAATGCCCAGAGCACTCTTAGCGTCCCCGGGAGCCCCAGCAGACAGGGAAGCCCACTACCCACACGGGTGTGCACCTGCCGCGGGCTGGGGGCTGGGCCCAGGCAGAAAGGTCCCAAAGAGAGAGGGGATGGCCAGGCCCAGCACAGAGCCAGGGAGTCAACTCATCACAGCCCCCATTCTGTCGCCCCAGGAATCTCTTTGAAGCCCTTTCCCCCGGCACTTGAATTTCATGTTGGCCAACTCACAGTTCCAACCCAGAAGCCTTTGAGTGCCAAGGGATGGACACGCGGATGCTGCTTCCCCGGGGCAGGGCGCCCAGTCACAGAGCAACGAGGCTGCCGGGCAGGAAGACAGATCACTGGGCCCTGATCCCCGGGGGGAAGCCTGAAGCCCAGAGAGGTCTGCCTGTCATCCAGGTCACACAGCAACTCAGGGCCACTCTAAAGCCAGACTCCGGCCTCTCCAGCTCCAGGCATTTCAGAGATGTATCTCCAAGGATGCTATTATTTTTATTTATTCAGTTAACACACCTCCTGGGTGTGGGACCCGCCAGCTGCGCCAGCACCCACTGCCTCTCAGGGTGTGCACTAACAGGAAGCTGGACGGGAAGCAGCACGGATGGCATGTGGGCAGCCTGAGTGGCAGCCCATCCCGTGCAAGCAGGGAGGTCTGCCGGGCAAAGTGGCTCCTGTGACATCGGTGGCTCCAGGTGTAGGCCAGGGCAGTGCCAGTACAGGACATTGCACAGTGAGCAACTGGCATCGTCCCCACTGGGCCAAGTGGAGCTCGCTTCACACCAGTCACCTCGAGCCCCACGCCTCAGCTGGACCAAGGGTCAATCGAAAGGAGGCCAAAGCCCAGGTCTCCTGCCCACATCCAGCCGCTCCATCAGCCGGGGGCCACGGGCCGACCCAGGAGCTCTCTCCTCTGCACTTGGACCGAGAGTGAACCTGGGAGTAAACATTTCCTGCTGGACTCAGCCACGGCCACCTGACAAGCAGGTTTCCATGGAAACCCCAGTGGCCCTCCAGACCTAAACGAATGCCACGGAGCAGAAGGAGGTGCCCCTGTGAACGGCACTCCCCTTACCCATGGCCGTGAACAACACCAGCACCGAGACCTCTCCTTGGGACCTTAAAGCTTCCAGCCGTCGTGCCCACCTCACCGACTATCCTGACAGCCACAGAACGAGCATAAAGGGCAGCGCTTTGCGGCTTGTCTGCCCGTGCTGGCTCTGCCACCACCAGACAGGCGGCATGGCTGGTATCCCGAGACTCTCGGAGCAGAGTGTCGCCAGTCAGGCAGCTCAGCACCACAGACCCGTGCCTCTCTGCCCACCCTCTCTGCCATCAGAGGTCACTTGCCCGTTGGCCAGGTGCCCACTGTGTGCCAGGTCTCCCAGGCTCCCCTGCCAGCACACAGGTGGGCAGAAAATGGCCTGCAGGGTGCCCGAGATCGGCCCAGATCAGAGGTGGGAGAAGCGTGCAGACCATGCAGGTGAGCAGGGACACAGCAGAGAGCAGAGCCCACCCATCTCTGACCCAGTGGCTCGGCTGGATGCCGCCCACTCCATCCTGCCAGGGCATGGCCTGGGAGGCCGCAGGTGTGGCAGAGAACTGAAGTCCCTACTACCTCCATGTAAGACCCATATGTAACTCCTGGCTGCTGGCTCTGGCATGGCCCAGCCCTGTTGCAGTCCTGAGGAGTGGATGGGAAGCTATGGCTCGTCTCTGTTTTTTTATAAAAACAAAAATAACTTAAAAAGGAGGGGAAAAAAAGCAATGGGGTGTCCCATCCTATAGCAGTGGGTGCTAGGACCAGATAACCAAAAGATGCAGGAAAGCCAGCGTCCCACCGCCCAGCCCCCCCAGCTGGGGGACAGGCAGCTGCTTGCCTTCTGGGGCAACAAAGCCTAGGTTCAAATCCCAGGAGGGCAAGCAGCCCCAGCAGTGCCCGGCACCGCCCAGCTCCCCCCAGCTGCTCGTCTTCCGGGGCAACGAAGTCCCCGCTAAGTCCCAGGAGGGCAAGCAGCCCAGCGGTGCCCGAGGCCACACTCCATCACGGGGCAGCATTTTGTACCCACGCTTCCGGGAAGGAGGCCAGCAACTGCGACTGAGGGGCAGGGGGTCGTGGAGCAGCCCTGCCAGCCTGGGCCACCAACTTCCACAATCAGATAACGCTGTTTAATCAGTGATCAACAACCAAGAGGCGCCGGAGACAGCCGCGGCCTTCCCTCTGCAAAATGGGGTGACGGCCACCAGGCTGGGCAACATGGCTGAGTACAGGGGCGTCTCACCTGCTCCGAGCCTGCCCCTGGTTACAGCAAAGGCACAGGAGGGGCCGGTCCCCAGTGTGCCAGAGAACTTGCCAGGGACCCACCGATGGGCACGCTGGTTCCCCTTCCACCTCAGGCCCTGCCCTGCTGCCCAGCTGCCCAGGCCACGGCAGGACCGAGGTGACCCATCGTGATCACCCACGCTGAGAGGGCGATCGAATGCTCCCAATGGACAACTAACTGTGCCCCAGGTCCAGCCCCTTGTGGGTGGACAGCCTGGGGTGGGGAGGTGGCAGTGAGGCCAGAGGGCACAACAGGGTGGCCTGCCCATCCCCAGGCGGGTTATAAAAAGCGCGTGCGCCAACGAGGACAAGCTTTGCTCTCTTGTGGCTGCGTGGGAAGGAAATGGTTTCCATGGTTACCATGGCCAAGCGGTGAAGGTGCAGATGTACCTCAAGGCAAAGCTGTGCCCAGTAAGCTTCTGCGTCTGACCCCTTGAGATCCAGGCCGGTCTACTCCGGGCAGCTGGTGACCTCATGGGAGCAGCACCACCCGTGGCCTCTGAGGGTGAGCAGGACCGGGGGAGGCAGCGTGGAGGCCACGGCCAGCTGGACTCGCACTGGGCGCCGGGGATCAACTCCTACTCTAAGTACAATACTGGCTCAGGGTGCACCATTTCCCAAGTCGAACGGGGCACAGGAGGTGGGGACCACACCGCCGCCCTCCTGCTGTGTCCCAGCCCGGCCAAGTTACCTGTGAGGATGTTCTCAGACATCACGTTGACCTGCACTTCCACCGAGTGCTTGGAGGTGTACGTGATCTCCGCGCTGACGTGGGCCACCTCGCCAATGCACATGGGCGACAGGAAGTCGGTGCGCTCCACCCGGGCCAGGGCAGCCACGCAGCGCTCCTGGGGAGACCAGAGGGCGGTCAGTCCTGCCCAGCCCAGCTGCCCACCCGCGTCCTTGAGCCACACTCTGCACCGGCTCCAGTGTTTCTCGCATGGCTGCTCCTGACCCCCGAGGTTCCCAGGATGCAGAAGAGCCACAAGAGGGGCTGCAGGGGGATGGCACAGAACTGAGGGTGGGCCCTGTCCCACTTCTCAGCCACCTTGGGAAACCAGGGCAGGGGAGGACGCCCCCAGACACCCACAGCGGCCGTTTGCAGGCGTTTTGTCAGCTCGTTGGCTCACTTGCCTGGCTTCTCGTTTCACAGCTCTGGGCTGCTAGGCTTGGGCAGAGCTAAATATACACTCACTCAACACGCAGGAAAAAATACCCTGCTGGGCACGACGCGCTCTCTGCCAGCACTGCTCTATTTTTCAAAATCTGAATCTTACTTATCCTCCAATTGGGTGACCCTTTCTCAGGGCTCAAAACTCAAAAGAAGCCAAGAGCCCACCTCTGGTCACCCACAGGGAGGGTGCCCACGGCCCTGTGTCTGGAAGCATCGTGAACTTGCTCATGGGCATGGTGGCTTAGCAACAGCCACTTCTCTCCCAGGGCTTTGGAGGCCGGGACGCCCAAGATGGACGCTGGGCACTGTCGGAGAGACCAAGGCATCTTCAGACTGCCCCGCATTGGGCAGGCGACAGGCCAGGGCGGTGGGCCTGACGGCCTGGGCCAGCTCTGACAGCAAGTTCATGCTGCCGGCACCGTTACCAGGGCTGAGAAAAGCTGCCCACAGTCGGCGACGTGTACAGCAAGTGGCAGCATCGCCAGCCTGGCAAGTGTGGGTATGTGTATGGGGGTCCCTGCTCTCCCACCTGGCTCTGGGTCAACATGCAAATGCCCAGGCTGGTTCAAACCCAGAGCGCGCCCTTGGGGAGATGGCTGGGCTCATGCAGGTGGTTCTCACATACAGGCTCGGGGCCCCAGTGACCAAGTCTGCTGCTACCCACACCCTAGGAACAAGTCTCAGAGAGACAAAGAGGCAGGGCAAGGAATTACAGTGGCCAGAAAATGTCCCCGGCAAGGCTGGCCGGGGTGGACGGTGTCCCCCTCTCTGACTTGTTGTGCTTGTCGCCCCCACTCCAGAAGCAGGTTACACTAAAGCCAGAGCCAGCAGCACTTTCACCTCCACGCCAACGTACGGCGCTATGGCACCACCCACTGGCAGAAGCGGGAAAGACAGGGTGACCTGGAGCCAGGCAGGGCCAGGGGTGGCCCGAGTTCGAGCCAGCAGGCACTGCTCTCAGCAGGGAAGGGCACTGGGACTCACACTGGCAGTAGTGGCTCTGCGCTGGTGACCGTGACCTGCCAGCTGCGGCAAGCTCCACGAGACCCTGAGAGGCGGCTCGAGCAGGCACAGCCCCAAGCGACAGCTCCAGGCCTGGGGCTCCACCCTGAGTCTTGGTCTCTGTGAAAACAGACACTAGAGGACACTGCCAGCCCATTGCGGCTGTGAGGAGCCCTGGGGCTCCAAATGCCAGGAGAGGCAGCTGTGCCCTGCCCATGGGTGGGGACTTAACTGTGTTCACAAGGGCCAAGTGTGTGGAGTCATGCTGGGCACCCAGGAGGGCCCTGCTCTCGTGCCCACCCGCAGGCACCCTGCCACGGCGGTAGCTTAGAGGCTATTGCCTCGTGTGACCTCTGGAAGACGGGAAGTTGTGCCGCTGTGAATGGAGCCAACAGAAGTGCTGCTCCGGCAGGTGTCGGAGGGAGGGCCAGCACAGAACGTGCGTGCCAGCACACCTGCAGGGTGCACAGCCAGAAGCCATCACAGGCTCTGCTCCCTGGATTCAGCAGGCACTTCACGGTTGCTTAGCAGATGACAGCAAGTACTCAGATGGGATTCAGCGAGGGGGGCGTGTGTGGACGGAGGCGGGAGACGCTGAGGACCCTGGCTGCTGCTGGAGAGTAACCAAGGTGGGCAGGGACTGGCAGGTGGAGAGCGGCCGAGGCGGGCAGGGCCCGGCAGGTGGAGAACCGAGGCGGGCAGGGCCCAGGTGATCCACCAGGAGGCTGTGCCCAGCACAGTGGGCAGCACAATGGCAGAGGCTGGGGAAGCTGCTCAGTGGAACCAGGAGCTGGGCATGGCAAGTCAGTGAGGAGACAGGCGGCTGCAGAGTGACTGCGGCAGAAGGCCGCCTGGCCACCCCAGTCCAAGAGCCCCTTGCGCTCAGAGGCAGCGCCAGCACCGAGACGGGAAGCACGTCAGGTGAGCCCGGACAGGGCACTTGGTTTTTCTTCCCTTTCTTCTTTCTTTTTAAAATTTCATTTTTGGGGCCCGGCGCGGTGGCGCAGTGGTTAAGGTCCTCACCTTGCACACCCGGGATCCCATATGGGCGCCGGTTCTATCCTGGCAGCCCCCCCTTCCCTTTCAGCTCCCTGCCTGTGGCCCGGGAAAGCAGTCGAGGACGGCCCAAAGCTTTGGGACCCTGCACCCGCGTGGGAGACCCGGAAGAGGCTCCTGGCTTCGGATCGGCATAGCATCGGTCGTTGCGCTCACTTGGGGAGTGAATCATCGCACGGAAGATCTTCCTCTCTGTCTCTCCTTTCCAATAAAAAAAAATAATAAAAATAAATCTTTTTAAAAAATTATTTTTGTTCAAAAGGCAGATTTTACAGAGATGGATAGAGTTTTTTTTAAAAAAATTTATTATTTTTATTGGAAAGGCAGATTTACAGAAAGGAGAGAGGGACAGATCTTAGATCTTCCGTCCACTGGTTCACCTCCCAAGTGGCCTCAATGGAGCTGAGCCAAAGCGAAGCCAGGAGCCAGCAGCCTCCCTCTGGGTTTCCCACATAGGTGCAGGTGCAGGGAGCTGGAGGGAAGTGGAGCAGCTGGGACAGGAACCAGTACCCATAAGGGATCCCGGCGTATGCAAAACAAGAAGTTTAGCTACTAGGCTATAGAGCTGGGCCCGACACAGAGATCTAACCATCGTTTCACTCTCCAAATGGCTCAGTGACCAGAGCTGAACTGACCCACAACCAGGAGCCAGGAGTTTCCTCTGGGTCTCCCACATGGCTGCAGGATCCCAAGGACTTGTTTGACCCATCCTCCAGTGCTCTCCCAGGCCACAAACAGGGAGTTGGATCAGAACTGGAACAGCCAAGAATCAGACTGGCACTCATAAGGGATGCCAGTGCCTGCAGGTGCAGGCTTGCCTACTATGCCATCACGCCTGCCCCACCTGCTCCACTTCCAACCCAGCTTCCTATCAATGTATGGTAGGTTCAGCTGCCACTTGGGAGGCCACAGGTCACATGAATGTTAGCTTGCTTCCAGGCTTCTAGGCCGCTTCGCTTGACCCAGCACTGCGCTCTGACCCAGCACTCCACTCTGACCCAGCACTGCACTGACCCAGCACTGCGCTCTGACCCAGCACTGCACTGACCCAGCACTGCGCTCTGACCCAGCACTGCGATCTGACCCAGCACTGCGCTCTGACCCAGCACTGCGCTCTGACCCAGCACTCCACTCTGACCCAGCACTGCACTGACCCAGCACTGCGCTCTGACCCAGCACTGCGCTCTGACCCAGCACTCCACTCTGACCCAGCACTGCACTGACCCAGCACTGCGCTCTGACCCAGCACTGCGCTCTGACCCAGCACTCCACTCTGACCCAGCACTGCACTGACCCAGCACTGCGCTCTGACCCAGCACTGCGCTCTGACCCAGCACTCCACTCTGACCCAGCACTGCACTGACCCAGCACTGCGCTCTGACCCAGCACTGCACTGACCCAGCACTGCGCTCTGACCCAGCACTGCGCTCTGACCCAGCACTCCACTCTGACCCAGCACTGCACTGACCCAGCACTGCGATCTGACCCAGCACTGCGCTCTGACCCAGCACTGCACTGACCCAGCACTGCGCTCTGACCCAGCACTGCGATCTGACCCAGCAGTGCACTGACCCAGCACTGCGCTCTGACCCAGCACTGCGCTCTGACCCAGCACTCCACTGATCCAGCACTCCGATCTGACCCAGCACTGCTCTCTGACCCAGCACTGCGCTCTGACCCAGCACTGCACTGACCCAGCACTGCACTGACCCAGCACTGCACTGACCCAGCACTGCGCTCTGACCCAGCACTGCACTGACCCAGCACTGCGCTCTGACCCAGCACTGCGCTCTGACCCAGCACTCCACTCTGACCCAGCACTGCACTGACCCAGCACTGCGATCTGACCCAGCACTCCGCTCTGACCCAGCACTGCACTGACCCAGCACTGCGCTCTGACCCAGCACTGCACTGACCCAGCATTCCACTCTGACCCAGCACTGCACTGACCCAGCACTGCACTGACCCAGCACTCCACTCTGACCCAGCACTGCGCTCTGACCCAGCACTCCGCTCTGACCCAGCACTCCACTCTGACCCAGCACTGCGCTGACCCAGCACTGCGCTCTGACCCAGCACCGCACTGACCCAGCACTGCACTGACCCAGCACTGCGCTCTGACCCAGCACTGCACTGACCCAGCACTGCACTGACCCAGCACTCCGCTGACCCAGCACTGCACTGACCCAGCACTCCACTCTGACCCAGCACTGCTCTGACCCAGCACTCCACTCTGACCCAGCACTCCACTGACCCAGCACTCCACTGATCCAGCACTCCGATCTGACCCAGCACTGCTCTCTGACCCAGCACTGCGCTCTGACCCAGCACTGCACTGACCCAGCACTGCGCTCTGACCCAGCACTGCACTGACCCAGCACTCCACTCTGACCCAGCACTGCACTGACCCAGCACTGCACTGACCCAGCACTGCACTGACCCAGCACTGCGCTCTGACCCAGCACTCCGCTCTGACCCAGCACTGCACTGACCCAGCACTGCGCTCTGACCCAGCACTGCACTGACCCAGCACTGCGCTGACCCAGCACCGCACTGACCCAGCACTCCGATCTGACCCAGCACTGCGCTCTGACCCAGCACTGCACTGACCCAGCACTCCACTCTGACCCAGCACTCTGCTCTGACCCAGCACTGCTCTGACCCAGCACTGCTCTGACCCAGCACTGCTGATGCTCCTGGAGAAGCAGTGGAGGACGGCCCCCACGCTGGGGCCTCTGCTTCCCGCAGGGCTCCTGGCTCTGCCATGGCCAAGCTCTGGCCTTGAAGCCATCTGGGGAGTGACTCAGCGCAGGGAAGTTCTCTCTTCCTCCACCCCTGTCTCTCTTTCTAACTGTGACTTTCAAATACTTTTACTTTTATTATTAGGCCCTGGTATTCTCCTTACCTCCTCCCAAAGTTCCCTCCCCCTTTCCACTGAGTTCCTCTATATTATTTTTTTCTATTATTTATTTTTTAAAACGATCTTACTTAGTTGATCAGGGAACAAATAGTTCTTCATAAGCAGTCATATGTCTATCATTATGGGCTTGGACAATAGCAGAGTCCAGCCTTCTATTGTTGAGGTATAGTGAACAGTTTCATTGGGAGTCCATCTTTATCTGGAAGTAGAGATGCATGCTGTATTGTATCCTCACATCTGGATATGATGGTCTCCATTACACAGTTACTATACATCCCCTTAAATGAAGAGCCACAAAACAAAATCAACAGGAAGAAGAAATTTAAAATGCCATGAAGTTAAATAACATGCAATTGAATGGCTAATGTGTCACTGAAGAAATGAAAAACAAAATCAAGAACCTTCTTGAGGAAAATGATGCTACTGTGTGTCTATGAGTCAGTGAAGAATTTAATAAAGTGTTTCTGAAGAGATGAAACTAAATTAAAAAAATTGAAATCCATGAGATATAGTTTCTGCTGATCTTTGTTGGTGAGATATGTCTCCTGTAGGCAACAAATAGATGGGTTTTGTCTTTTTAATCCAGTCTATTAATCTATGATGTTTGATTGATGAGTTTAAGCCACTTAAGTTCAGGGTTAATATTAATGGGTGGTAATTTGGTCCTGTCATTTTAGCGACGAAATTCGGGAAATTTTCCCTTATTATTTCATTGAATACATTTTTAACCCCAGCTTTTCTTTCTGCACCTTCCGGGACTCCCACAACTCTCATTTTGGCCTTTTCATAGTGTCTTTCAATTCTTGAATACTTTTTTTAGCTTGACCCAGCCCTGCTTCCAGCTTTTGTTTCCTCCTGGTAATAGGAAATATCTTCCAATTCTAAGATTCTTTCTTCTGCTTCATTCATTCTATTTTGGAGATTCTCCACAGTAATTTTAATTTGTTCCACTGTATTTTTCGTTTCTGATATATCAGCTTTCATTTGATTCATTTCCTATGTGACATGTTCATTAACTTTCCTGAACTCCTGCTTTACATGCTTCTCGTTGGTAAGTTTTATACCAAATGTTTGAATTCTGCATCCCCTATTTTCTCGATGTCTTCCTCAGTGAACTCTGAGGTTGGCAATGGGTTTTGCTCCTCTGCAGGGGAGTTTTCAGTAATTTTCATTGTGCCTTTGTCTCTTCTTTTGCTCTTGGTCATTGTACTTCTGGTTAGCAGAGTCTTCTCCTTGGGGCAGGTTTCTAAGCTGTGTCACCCACAGGTCTACAATGCGATTTTACTTATTGCAGTTGGTACACAACTTTTTGCTTGCAACCACTTGTGCCACAACGTCCAGTGAGTTCCAGGTCTGGGTTCTTATGTTAGACTTCCACCGTGGTCTCTGTAGCCCCAGCTCTGGCTCACCACTCTCCACTTTCTGTGATACCGTGCTGAGACTGCACCGTTGTCTGTACTACCTTTTTCCCACTTCCGGTTGGAGCAGGTCCCAGGATTAGAGACACCAGGTGTCCTATATAGATAGGTTGTTGGTGGTGCTGATCTTATTTTCTTTTTTAAAGATTTATTTATTTTTATTACAAAGCCAGATATACAGAGAGGAGGAAAGACAAACAGGAAGATCTTCTGTCCGATGATTCACTCCCCAAGTGAGCACAATAGCCAGTGCTGTGCCGATCCAGAGCCAGAAGCCAGGAACTTCTTCCAGGTCTTCCACGTGGGTGCAGGTTCCCAAGGCTTTGGGCCGTCCTCGACTGCTTTCCCAGACCACAAGCAGGGAGCTGGATGGGAAGTGGAGCTGCCAGGATTAGAACCGGTGACCATATGGGATCCCGGCGCGTTCAAGGTGAGGACTTTAGCCACTAGGGCACTGTGCCAGGCCCGGTGGTGCTGATCTTGCCAGAACCTATTGGCCGTTAGGTCTGAGGGCCACATGGACCTATTTTGACCTGTACAAATCCACAGTCGGTGTTATTTTCCTGTGGAATCAGTACAATGCACTGAGCTCAGTGAGTTCTTGCCAAGCTCAGCACATGCGCAGCTCACTGTTGTCCCTGCAGTCTTAAAGCCTTTGCCACACTATATAAAACTGTACCAGAAATGAATAAAAAGAAGAAAAAAGAAGAAAAAAAAGATAATAATAATAATTAAAAAAAAAAAACGTACCAGATGTGCCACTTCTAGAGCTCCTGCTCTGCCGGCGTCGGGTCTGAGGGTCACCCGGGCCTGTCCTGGGTGGAACCTGTTGGATGCCACGTTGTTGCCGTTTGCTGAGCCAGAAATGAATTCACTCCAGCTCAGTGCATGCGCAGCACTATCCATAGCCTTTGCGCTGAACAAAACTGCACCCGATACAGATCTAGGGGGTGAACTGAGTTGTGAAACCCACCCTGTTCCTGGTCAAATCAAAAGACCAGCAGGGGGTCTGGCGCGGTGGCCTAGCGGCTAAAGTCCTCGCCTTGAACACACTGGATTCAATCGAGGACGGCCCAATGCTTTGGGATCCTGCACCTGCGTGGGAGACCTGGAAGAAGTTCCTGGCTCCTGGCTCTGGATTGGACAGCACCAGCCATTGCACTCACTTGGGGAGTGAATCATCGGATGAAAGATCTTCCTCTCTGTCTCTCCTCCTCTCTGTATATCTGACTTTGTAATAAAAATAAATCTTTTTTTTAAAAAAAGGGCCAGCAGCACAGGATGGGCGGTTCTTGGTCTGGTTCACCCACCCCCGGAGCTCCCCAGGTGACGTCCCTGCCCACCTTGTGGCTGGGGGAGTTCTGACTGCTGGTGGAGCTCAGATCGCCCCTCGCTGAATGCCGCTGGGGTATCAGTCTGAGACACACGCTGTTGTGTCCGTCGCTTTCCTGTGTCTGTCAGTGTCCAGGTGCCCCTCTGCTGTTCTGTCCTCTCCTGTTTGCTGGAATGTGCCCTGTCTGCTCCACATTGGATAATGCTTCTCCCTCTGTTTAAACATCCCTTACCCTGTTCCCCCATCTTGATTCTCTGACCAAATACTTTCCTTTAAAAAGAAGTAAATTCACAGACAGAAGGACAGCAGCAGCAGCTGTGGATGGGAGTGCCTCCACTCCACCCAGGGCCCCAGCACAGGCCCTCAGGGGCCAGCTGCAGGGCTCTCATCTACAGCCTGGTCCCCTCCCAGGCGTCCCATCTGTGCTGGGACCTCAGCCTCAAAGCCAGGCTTCTGGGCCTGGACCCACAGCCTGGACTGGCTGCCTGCCTCCCCCTGGGCCTCCAACAAGTACGCAGTCTCCTTGTGCCTTGATCTTTCTTTCCATCGGAGCATCTGTCTCCAAGGCTGCTGTGAGCACTGTGCAGGCTGAGCTCCTAGAGCTGGGCTCAGCGCCAGTAACACTCACAGCTGCAGACAGCCCCTCCCTTGCCCTGGCTCCCCACTCCTGGGGCCCACCTTCTGAAGCCCATCCCCATGCCAGGCTGAGGTCCTGCGCCCACAGGGCCTGCCCTTGCCCCAGCCACAGGGGCACCCGCATGGGCTGGTCCTTGAAAGCCATGCATGCCCGTCCCAGGGCCACCAGAGGGCACTCTCTGAAAGCACCCAAGGGCAGCCCTTCTCTCCCCGCCAGGCAGGCAAGCCCTTCTTAGAAGGGTTCCCAGGCCACTCACTCTCAATCCCCCACTATGCCCAGGTCGCCACGTCTGTGTTCACCCCACACACTATGGTTTGGTTCATCCTACACATGCACAGGCCCCATACACACACTGGTGGAGGTGTGCACACACAGCCTTCTAGTCCTTGCTGGAAGACCCACTGTCGACTGGGGCACAGCCCATGTGCTGCGGAGTGCCTTGTCACATCTCCCCAGGGTTGCCCTAATCCCCAGTGGATGGTTGTGGAGGCGCGGCTCTGGGGAGGAGCAGGTCTGGGGGCAGCCGTCCCACCAGAGGGCGCCACCTGCCAGAACCGGAATCTGGAGGCCCCTTCACCTTGGCCCATAGCCTCCAAAAATGCAGGCACACGTCCCTAGAACCAGGTATAGCCCCACCTGCGGGCCGCACTCGGCCCCCACCTTGCCACCCGCGCTGGCCTGGTCAGAACAAGCACACCCCCTCTGGGTCCCAACCCTACCCTGGCTCAGTAGAGAATGGGACCTGTGTGACACTCCCCCCAGCACCTCCCTCTCCCCAACCCCTTGCCCAACTCGACTCTCTCCCTGCCCAGCAGAGATGCCACAGCTGGTCTCGGGACACTGGCTATGGAGGTCACCGGCCTCAAGATGCCGCAGCTAAAGTGCTTCCCACGTCAAGGGCCAGTTCTGTCACCCTGGCCGACCTCCAAGGGGCAAGGGGCTGGCAGGACTGAGCCTGTGCGCCCGCCCCTGTGCCCAGCCCTGGGGTCACTTCTGGGCTGTAACTGGGGTACAGCCTCAGCCAGACACGGCTGCCGAGGGCTTCATGGCCAGCAGACAGCAGAGGCACTGAGCCATCACACACCCCCATCACTGTCACGGCCCAAAGTCTTCGAGATGCAGCCCTGTGAGGGCTGCCCCCAATCCTGTGGCTTCCCAGCCCTGCTCACGCAGTCATTCCTAGGCCGGGCGGCCCCCAGAAGCCCCTGGGGCCCGGTGCGGGGCCCTCCCCGGGCAGCCCGGGCCGAAGGCTCACCCCACTCTGGCTGTTACAGTGTCGGGTGCTCATGATGGCGCCTGCCTCCTCAATCATCTTCAGGATGGTCCCTCCGTGGACGTTGCCGGCCACGTTGGCGTCATCAGGCCTCATGATCCTAGGGCAGAGGGGAGAAGCAGGATGAGACCCCTGGGAGAAGGGACGCAAAGGGCCCTGAGCGATTGTGTGCTCCGCATGTGCGGTAGGCAGGCCAGGGCTAGTCCAGCAGGGCTCCGAGGAATGCACAGGGAACAGGGCACTCTCCCGCTGGGGCCGCAGGCTCCAGCCTGCCTGGGCCTTGGTGTGCGTACGGCCAAGATTCTAAGCCATCGGCAAACAGGCAGCCACTCAGCTGCAGGGGCCCCCACACACGGCCCCCCTCTGGGCTTCCTGGCAGGCACAAGCAGCTCACACCTCCACTGGGGCCCCCAAAACAAGCTCACAGGACCAGACGCCTTGGGCTCTGCGGGTTGTCAGACACTGGGTCTCGCCTGGGGAGCTGGTCAGGGCTCCCCATGGAGACAGAGACCAGCAACACCTCTGCCCGTCCTCGGTGACGAGTGGCTTCATCCCCACCTCAGGCACAGGAAACCTGCGCAAGGCCAGCAAGCCACTGGTCAATCCTGCATGGGCAGCCCTGGCCAAGCCTGGCTCCCTCCCAGGTAACTACCTGGCTTGTGAACTTGGCCTTCATTGGCTTTCGGCCCAGACATGTGTGACGGACAGCAAGTATAGGCCTGTGGTGCCCTGCAGCCTGGCTCGGGGCCAGGACCAGCACCGGGTCTGGCACCTCCCAACTGCCGTCAAAGTAGCTCAAAGATTGGACCAGGTGGGCGACCAGGGTAAACTGCCCTGGTCATCTGCCTGCCTCTAAAGTGGGCATCGTACCAGCCCCACCTCAGCGCACTGCAGGGAAAACGGAACCCGTGAGGGGCGGATGGCAGTACTGCCACGGTGGCAAAGCACACTGCTGGCAGCACATGTACCCCCGCCGTGAGGTCCTGCAGGCTGGAAGCTCCCAGGGGAACCAGAGACGCCATGTTCTACAGAAAGTGGCCACTGACCTCCCCTCCGCAGACAGCTCGTCGCACCTGCTGCCCAGCCCCAAAGTCCCCCTGCTTCTGCCCGAGACCTGGTCACCCTGCAGGCTCCCGGAGTGCCTGGGGGCAGTTACAGACAGCACCTGGAGAACCCGGGGGCAGTCAGCAGAGGGTGGGCAGCACAGGGCAGTCAGCACAGGGTGGGCAGCACAGGGTGGCAGCACAGGGCAGTCAGCACAGGGTGGCAGCACAGGGCGGTCAACACAGGATGGGCAGCACAGGGCGGTCAGCACAGGGTGGGCAGCACAGGGCGGTCAGCACAGGGTGGTCAGCACAGGGTGGGCAGCACAGGGCGGTCAGCACAGGATGGGCAGCACAGGGCGGTCAGCACAGGATGGGCAGCACAGGGCGGTCAGCACAGGGTGGTCAGCACAGGGTGGGCAGCACAGTGCGGTCAGCACAGGATGGGCAGCACAGGGCGGTCAGCACAGGGTGGGCAGCACAGGGCTCAGAGGGGAGCACCATGTGGTTCCTTAAGGTTTGTTTCAAACCACCAGGCGTTCTTAAAAATTGAGTTGATGGGGCTACAAGGTCCTGTCTTTGGAGATGCTTTTTATTGCTTGGCTACCCAGGGCGTGGTGAGTCTGTCCCCCGCCCCCCACCAGCGGGTTTTCACCCCTGGCCCCTCGCAGCTCAGCAGAGTGAGGCAGAGTTTGACCCCAGGATGGGCCTTCCAAGCTGGAATGGGTCCTGGACACTCATTCCAACCGGGCCAGCACCTTCATCTCCTGTGCCCACCTGCAGGGTGACTGGCCTGTCACTGACGCACTGGGAGCCCAAGCAGGGGCTGGCCCGTGTCCAGTGCGGCCGACTCCTGCCCTCCCCCAAGGCAGTGCCAGCACAAGGTCCCACCCACCTGAGGACAGGGAGTCTCTCCTTGGGGTGGGGGGGTTCTTCTTGGGGGGTTCCCCTTTGCCAGCAGCCTCTTCCTAGGCTGGATGGCCTGCATGTCATCTGTTCCCTTGCACTGAGCAGCAGTGAGGCAGCCCAGGACCAAGCAGGGCAGGATGGCTCAGCCGCTTGGGTTCCAGGAAGGAGAGCTGGGAAAAGCCCCTGGCTCCTGGCTTCAACCTGACCCAGCCCTAGATGGCAAATCCCTCTCTAACACTTTCAAATAAAAGTAAATATTTTTAAAACTAAATCATTTTAAAAAATAAAAGTGAGGGACCCAGCAACGTGGGCTAGTGGCTAACGTCCTCGGCTTGAGCACGCCGGGAACCCGTATGGGTGCTGGTTCTATTCCTGGCAGCTCCACTTCCCATCCAGCTCCCTGCTTGTGGCCTGGGAAAGCAGTTGAGAACGGCCCAAAGCCTTGGGACTCTGCACCCGTGTGGGAGTCCTGGAAGAAATTCCTGGCTTCTGGCTCTGGATCGGCACAGCACTGGCTATTGTGCTCACTTGGGGAGTGAATCATCAGACAGAAGATCTTCCCTCTCTGTCTCTCCTCCTCTCTGTATATCTGGCTTTGCAATAAAAAGAAATAAATCTTAAAAAAAAATAAATAAATAAAAGTGAGGAGCTGGCTGTGCGCCTTACGAGTCGCACACCATGGACACCAGACACCTGCTGTCCACACAGGGTCCCAGCCCTCACTGCTGTCCTCAGGGCACTCATGCCAGGAACTGCCGGCCAGCCTGCCCTGGCCTGGTCCTGCACCAAGCCCTGTCCTCTGTCCCCAGACCAACCAGCCACCCGGGAACAGTCAGTCAATGCCCACTTCGCCCCAAGGACCTGTAAGCTAACTCGGTTACTGTCTCGGGTCCCCCTTTGCCACTCACTTCCCCTACTGTCCACCATCAAGCTAGCTTAAGGCCAGGCAGGTGTAACAGGAACAGAGTGGACTGGGGGGCACACAGCTCCTCACGCAAGCCTGAGAATCCAGGATGCCCGAGCTGTGGGTTTTCAGAAAAACCCAGACGGTGAACTCAACGTGAATCCCCATGGCACCTGGGTCATCTCAGGTGACGCCAACCTGACACCTGACTCATGGGCACCCACCCTGGGGCCATGGCAGGCCTGCCTCCAACCCCACTGCCTGAAGGCAGGCAGGCCACTGCTGCCCTTATCAGCGTGGCCCTGGGCCTGTGGCCAGCAGTGGTCATGGCTACCGACTCACATGGCCCAACCCTCGCCTATGCCCGCCACTCCTGCCCAAGTCAGAACCACATCTAGCCAGCCGCCCACACCAGAACTACCGCTAACTCGTGCGAACACCGCCATACTGCCGGCGTCCCCTCAGGCTGGACAGCAAGACGACCACAAGGTCTCTGACGTAGCGGAGTAAACACAGTAAACACACGTCACAGAGCCACGCCCACCCTTGGGAACCCTCCCAGAGGAAGTGACGTCACCCTGACCAAGCCCTGGAAGGGAGCAGGAAGCAGGGTCAGCACAAGGGAGCAGCCCCCCAGGGCCAGGGCCTCACTCCCCGTGGGAGGGGAAGGCTGGAGCAGAGAGCTGAGCTCCTGGGAAGCCCTCAACTCAGGGCTGGGGAGGGGGCACCCACCTGGGGCCAAGCGCCTTGCTGCAAAGAGTGACCTACAATGCAGGAATCCAGGCACATCTGCTCTCCCTGCCAGGAAAGCACTAGAAGCCTTCAGAGATCCAGAACTTTCTCTGCCCTGCAGGGTTCCCAGCTGTACTTGCCAAAACACTGGTGTCTGGCAGGCACAGGTGGCCCTTCCCACTGCCCAGCCTGCATCCATCTACCCCAGCAATGTCTGGAGGAAGGGTCACTGTGACCTCAACAGGACTGCCACTGCCTGCCCATGTCCTGACCCAGCAATTCAGACACGAGCTGCCCACATCACCACACGCAACTCAGAGCCATTTACCACGTGGAAGACAGGCCGGTTCCTGTGCTCCTCATAGGGGGCAAGGGAGACGGAGATGCACAGGGCAGGACACTGGCCAACCTTGAGCAAGAGAGAGGGCACTGTCAGGAGGGGAGGAGCCTAGCAGGCGATGGGTGCAGATGGCTGCACACCCGTCACGGCCTCCCTCAGGTCTCCATCACTGTGACTGGTCAGCACTCGGCCCAGCATGCGCGGCACAGGGCCTGGAGCCCAGAGGGGTAGAGGGACAGGTGCCAAGCAGGCAGAGGACCCAGGCAGCCAGGAAGAGCCTCCCAGACAGCCTGCGTGTGGGCTGAACTCTGCCCCACCCGGGCACCTGGAGCAGAGCCTAAATCTGGAAATGGCTAATGGCAGATGGAACGGACTGGTATGAGATGGAAAGGGTGGGTCCCGATCTAACGCCCTATAAGGACAGGAGAGTCTGCATGTGGCCCTGGAGGCAGCCACACAGCAAGGGACAAGGCTACGAGCTGAGAACTCCACGGGGGAGGGGCCAGAGAGTAGGGGGACACCCCAGCCTCCTAACTGCAGAGGCAGCACCACCTCCTGCAACTCCGACCCCACACTTCCGGCCTCCGGACTGTGAGAGCAAAAGTTCCCATCATCTTTTTCCTCCCCTAAATATTTATTTTTATTTAAAAGGCAGAATTGGGCCTGGCACGATGACTCAATGACCAAATCCTCTCCTTGCAACCAGCAGGATCCCATATGGACACCACTTTGTGTCCCGGCTACTCCGCTTCCCACCCAGCCCCCTGCTTATGGCCTGGGAAAGCAGTGGAAAGTGGCCCAAAGCCTTGGGACCCTGTACCCACGTGGGACACCTGGAAGAAGCTCCTGGCTCCTGGTTTCAGATTAACCCAGCTCCCGCCATTGTAGCCACTTCATGAGTGAACCAGCAATTGAAAGATCTTTGTCTCTCCTTTTCTCTGTAATTCTGCCTTTCCAATAAAAATTAAATTTAAAAAAAAGGCAGAATTACAGAGAGACGCAGAGACAGAGAGAGATCTTCCATCCACTGGAAGATCCACTTCCCAAATGGCCACAACACCCAGAGCTGAGCCAAGCTGAAGCCAGGAGCCTCTTCCAAGTCTCCCACGTGCTCGCAGCTTCCCAAGAATTTGAGCAGCCGAGACACAAACCAGTGCCCATAAGGGATGCTG